CGTTGCTGTTTTTTTAACGTTCTCATAAATTAATCGCTCAGTTGGAGTAAATCTGTTGGATAGGATCAGGCTGGAAGGTGATATGAAGATGTTTAGTGTATCAGCCGCAGCGTGATAACCGCGTAATATTCATTAACAACCAAGAGGCGGCCAATAGTATATTTATAATTTATAAGACGCCACAGGTACTAGCTCACTCGTACAAACTAAGGCAAACGCGCAGCCAGAGAAGATGAGATTCAGCGCTGCAAGTTTTAACAACCACTTTAAAGCCTTTCAGTCAAACGGAACAACTTGTGAAATTCGAGATTTCAGACAATATAGAGGCAAGGCACCGACTAAGATGTGTAAGAATGTTGCGAGACTTCTGCAGGAAGATGGAGGGTTTGAGAGGTGCCCACGAAACCCTTCAAGCACGACTGTGAAAAGCTTCGTGTGCAAACAGTATGAGCCCAACAAACCACTTCGTGGGGTTGACCGCAAAGGCAGCGGTGCGCGTAACACGGCCTAAGGACGATACGTCAGTCATAATTGACTATGTAGAAGGCTGCTAATTGGTACGAGTTGTGCACCTGCCGAGATATTACAACAAGACATCGAAGTTTGCACGCCCCATGAGGGCACTCGGTCAGAAGTTTATGGCTGTTTGATCGAAAATGCCCAACATAAAGCTCACTGGGCACGTAGGTATGTCATCTCCGGAATTGATAACAAAAATGCCGACTGCCTGCAAAATGTGCTGAAAAAAATATTATTTCCTTCGTAGGCATTTTCTCCGATGATTTTCGACGCCATTATAAATTCAAATACACTTTATCCAAGACATACACAAAAAAAATTTTCCTTTACTCATCTGGTAGCAAATTACGCTTTCTTTAAATCCTTTACTCGAGGAAAGGGTATTTATCCGATTGTTAAAAAACGGCCGCAATGGTCGAAACGGTGACAGTCTAGTATATGGATCACTTCGGAAACCAAAGACCGGTGTTAATGGTTATTTATTCGTAAGTCTCATCGCATGTTTTTGGACCGCTGTATATTAGCTTTTTATAATAATTTTATTCACTATTTTCGGTTTGTATTTAGTATATATTTCTTTTATTTTCTTCCCCACCCGTACAGCCACTATTACTACTGGTCCCGTATGTTAGAATTCTGGGGATTTGGTTTCTGTGATGATCCATATAAGACTGTTAGCACCGAATCATCTTGAACCTGGCCTGCCGATACACTTGTATTCGGGGTTTCTGAATCGCATGTCGTTAACTTTTCGTCTAAAGAAAATCTCGCATTTCTATATGTTACAAGGAAGACATCAGTAACTGTTGCAGTGGACGTGGACCATGTCTTATACTTTAAAGGCAACATTAACAAATGGACGGATACCATGCTTGAAGAATCGAAAATCTCCCGCCTTTAAAAAATCTCATATATATCACCTTTTTTAAAAACTGAGACATGCGCCTGCTTCACTTACAAAATATGAAACAGACGCAATATGTTACCAAAGGAGTAGAAGAATGCTTTTTGCTCATGTTTTCTATAAAATATGCTAGAAGCGCATCAAGAATCGATGAGAAGCATTTAACAACGATTTGTTTTGCAGCTGGTGGAAACAGAAGCTCATTCAAAAACCGGCATCGTGACGCGACTGAAAACAAAAACTGGGATTAGGCTGCTGCGCGCCAGCGAATATAACAAGCCTCTTTTGAAAAAAAACACCTCCGAATTTCGTTCATCATTTCGCGCGATAACAAGTCTGCTGCAGATCAAAGGTTCTCAGAGATGACGGCAACGAACGCCAGCCCTTTCCCTCCTACTGCGCAGATAACGCTTCTGTCTGGTGTCCTCGTGTGAGGTACCGCCTGCGAACTAAATTAACGCTTAACGCGACAGCCGACATACTGCAGACGGATTAAGCAACTTAATCACGTGCCGAGTGTTGGTGCTCAGCAAAATTTCGCAGAGCCGACTCGCCCC